ATCACAATTCGCACATGTGTTAAAACTGCAGACATCAACACCCTTCGACGGAAAAGACTTCTATACCTGGTTATTCGAGTTCGAGCTGATGATGGAGGGCGCGCAAATACTTAGATCAATCCCATACCATACCCAACACATGGGACACAATACGACAAGCAGCAATATACATATCAGACGCTGATGGCGTACACGATACTTCTTCAAAACATAACGCCAAACGAGCAGCAGAACATTCGGTCTTATCAAGGATACGGCAACTCCGCCGAGCTAGCGTACGATCATCTGAAGAACATGTATCAAGCAACAGACAGTGTTAATCAAAGTCGTCTCATGGCACAGCTGACAACAGTGGAAATGAAACCCGGCAAAAAAGGAATGGCGTATATCAGCCGTTGTCGTGGACTGCGCGACAGACTCCTTCGATGCGGAGGATCGATATCCGAAGAAGCCTTCGTAACAGTTATCATCGCTGGCCTCGGTCCTCATTGGCACTCCACTTGAGCACTCCTCCGAGCTTACGGGAAGATCTCTGAAGCAGCACTCTGCGCCAAAATTCACGCTGAACAGCAGGATATGGAACTACACGAAGAACGACACAAGAGAGCAGCAGCACCAGAGTTTGCATTTCACACTGAACGGCGCTACAACAACAACAACAATCGACAAAACAACCGTCAAGTTCAACAGTACGTCCCACCATTTTGTCACCTCTGCAAAACGTCCGGACATCCTCGCACACACTGCCCGAATCAGCAGCAGTCAACGTCGTCGCAACGTCAACTTCGGCCCTCAAGTAGTCAAGTAGCTTCTACACACGCGCATCCCACCAATCAAGTACGGTCTTTAACGTCATCAACAACAAAACCTGCGCAAGGCACAAGAAACATCGTAAGCTGTATGACAAGAACAACAGAATCCTGCATCACCGGATCCCCACCGTTCTACTCACCAGAAGAACAGCTCGACGAGAGCACTCCTCGCCACGAATCACTGGAGCCCAACCCGACGTATGCAGCCATCGCCCAGAGCGAGCCGTCCGGAAAAGACACTTGGTTCTTGGACAGCTGCTGCGGACAGCACATGTGCTCCTCGGGTCGCTTCGTTCAACATGAACACCAACTTCAACGCGAAGTTGTAATCACCGTCGCCAACAACCAGAACCTGCACACACGACGACAAGGGATCGTTCAACTTTAGTCTTGAGAAACTAACGTTATTCTACAAATGTCAAAGGTTCTAATCGCATAAGGACTCGGCTACAACTTACTCAGCGTCAGTCAATTGATGGCAAAGGGCATTCATCTTGAAGCAGATAGCACCACTCAGGAGTTCAAGTTGTACCACGGAAAGGGCGGACTCTATATTGGCAAGGCGGTCTTGAAGAATAACGTCTTCGTTCTTGACTTCGTTCCGGACCAAGGTACCGCCGACAGCGACGCCATCATCAACTTCACTTCTTGGACACATCCACCAGATCTCGACCCCGACTTCAGTCCTGGAGGATTTTGGTACTCACATACCATACCTGAAGAAGAAAGAACAAGGGCATTAGCAACAATCCGGCAAGAAGAGACAACATCGACAGCAGCAGAAACAACATCAACAGCAGCAGAGACAACATCGGCAGCAGCAGCAACACCTACGGCACCAATCGCGGGCTCTTCGAAGACACCAATTCTCATAGACGACCTCCTCTACATAGGCTCCACCGATGACATAACGACCTGGTTTGAAGGGGAGTTGCAGAGGGATCTCACACTCACCGTCGCGACTACCGTGACACAGTACCTGGGACTCAACATACAAGACGGCGACAACGCAATCTACCTCAGCGCCGAAAAATACACAGACACCATCGCCAAACGATTCGGACTAACTCCAACTGCCATCACCACGCCATACCGTTACACCGACGGAAATCGCAAAGTCTTCGCCCTACTCAAACCCGCCGGCATTCGCGACTACCAACGAAAACTAGGCTGTCTACTCTTCGCAACCGTTACCTGCCGACCGGATCTATCTTACTCAGCTAGTCAACTCGCCACCTACCTCAAGAAGTCGGAAGCAGAACACATAATGGAGCTCGATCGTGCACTTCACTACCTCGTCAGCACCCCGACGATCGGACTAATCTACTTCAAGACCAGAACTACGAGACCTAAACTAATCGGTTACGACGACGACGATCATGCTGGAGACTCTGACAACAGGCGATCTCGTACTGGCTACATCTACCAACTCGAATCTATCGGCCCTATCTCATGGCAGTCGAACAAGCAAGAGCTAATCGCTCTCTCCTCAGCCGAAGCAGAATACATCGCACTCTTCTCAGCCACCAAGGAAGGACTATATATTCGCGAATTACTAGAAGAAGCAAAATTGGCTCAGTTACCCAGCTTCTCCCTCTTCTGCGACAACCAATCAGCCACTCGCATAGCGAACAAAAATGGGTTCGCGAATCGAACAAAGCACATCGCCCTCCGGTACTTCTTCGTAAAAGACGAAATCGAGAAGGGAAGACTCGAGTTATCCTACTGTCCCACATCCGAGATGGCAGCCGATTACTTGACCAAGAAACTCGGAAAACAGAAGTTCGAGTATTGCATGCTGCTGACTGGACAAGGACACGTCATCAGCAGCGACACTCCAGAAGCGAAGGGAAGTGTTGGAAACAAGTAATTTAACGCTTCTTAAGTAATCGAAGTATCGACACGAAACGAAGCAGACTACAACGAAGCAACACGCGAGTCAACAAAAGTAACAGCTAGAGGTTACGCGAAGGTCAAAGGTCGGTGACCTTTGACTCGACGAAAAATGCAGCGCGACAGTAAGGACACATAACTGACTCGATATTGAGCAGTTACCCGAGTCGTCACTGTATCGAACCGCAACAACAAAAACAGTTAAAGTAAAACCTTTCATATTATTTTGTAATCATATAAAAGCTTTGTATCTCTCTGCTATTATCAACTTATCTTATTCTCACATACCAGTGCAAGGTGGTTCAGTAAACTCTGTTATTACGCTTCCGCAAAGTACAACATTCCTACTCAAAAGATCTTAGCCTTGAAAGATCCTAAGGGCTAATTCTCAGCCCAACACCTGCGACCAGGGAAGAGGTACTAATGTTCACGGTTTGAACACAAAAAATGTATCCTCTTAAAGCGCTGGTCGAACCTAACTCTAAGGTTACACGAAATGTGCCATCAGGCAAGAAATTGATTGACATTAAGCGGTACGAAGTTAAAGCATAAGCCATGGCCAAACAGATGTCTCGAGTAGGTGTAAGGAAAATTCCTTTTCCTTACTTCGCGTCCCTGCTCAGCGCGTACAACACTGACAGCACCCCACAATATTCCGTTACCACTCGCGACATTCGCCTCGACATCACTCCCGCCATTATTCACGATGCGACCCAACCTCACGGTTCGGTTGGTAACCTGCGCTCCGGACCTCCGCCTCGACAGTTCCCCAAACCTCGGCACCAGGCCCGTCGCGCACCCCAATTTCCCACGTTACCGTTACCACCATAGTTTCGCTTTTTATTATTCGCTTATTCCTTCGCTCATTGTATTTCTTGTCTTGATAGTGCAATCCTAGCTCGCTCACTCAATTGCACTCGTAACAGTAGGCAAACGTACAATTTGTTGGCTGTACAATGGAGGTGAAGTATCTCGATAACATAAATACCTTGAACAAATCTCAAAGGCATATTGACGTGCTCTGGCCAATCATAACCCGGGGTTGACAGGAGCTGGTTGACTGGGTATCACTTGGGAGTGCGGCAATTTCGCGGGCAAGAATGCAAAACTGGATTTGTCTGCGAACCCTTCTAAGGGATCGATAAACCAAGCGTGACCATAGCTTTTGGCTAGTGAATACATTGTTACCACGATGTTTTGTACTGCCAAACCACTCCCACAGAACAGAAAATGATTCCCCAACAGGACTGTCGCTAGGTCTGGGTCCAACCCGTACGAAGCTGAGCTGCCCCGAAATCAACCCCGAAGGATCCGGAAAGCAGACTTAAATTCAGGGCATTTCTATTTCTGGCTCTGAGGATACTTGCGTAGAAAAACTTAGATAATGGAGCTAGACACGTTAGGGGAACGGGAGGGACTGGTGTGGTGTTACAGGGAGGAGGGGAGAGGGACCAGCTCGCGGTCTAAGGTCAGGAAGAAAGGGAGGAGGGGAAGTGGGAGGGGGGGACAGGTACGGGAAATCCGGGCAAGAGCCAAAACCTGTCCGTTAGGAATCCGGGCCTGGGAAAAACCAGCCCTGAAAATCTCCGAGCTGATCTGAAACGAGCCCTGAATTCTCAGGGAAAACGGAAAAATGTCCGTGAATCGACAGGCCTGTTCCCCAACCGACACAAGGCAAACTCTGGTCCACCTGATCTGAACCAAACCAACAACCAAACCAGACCGGAAGTTCATCTAATTGCGGCTCAAAAAGGTTTTGTACGATCTAGAGTGGTCTGTTTAGGATCTAAAGTGGCTGGATAGTGTGTTTCGCGAAAACGTACTTTCGGGACCCGCCCTTCCCTGCCCTGACCAACCAGTGTCCTTCACGGGAGGTTGAGCTTCTGGTCTGTGTTTCGCCTCACCTACTTTCTTCTCAGTTCTGTTCCTCCTATCCAGTTCAGGTGTGCTGTCAGTGCTGTGCTGTGTTGAAAGTCTGCGAGTCTGCGACATCCGTGGTAGGTTGGTCTGTCTGTCCTTGGTCGTGGAGTGGAAGCCGCTTCTGCTACATTCCTCACCACGTGCGCACTACTAAGTTATGGTTGAGCGCGCAGCAAATCTTTGTTACTAGTCCACATCAAGGTGTATACTATTTCGCTCCCCGCGGCCTCTCTCGTTTGCAATAGACGCCGTTGCGCATACTGCCACGTTGTTGTGTCTCTGATCGGAGTCAAGGAACCCAGCTGGTCTCGGGCCGCCGAAACGTTGCGTCGTTACTTGTGTTCTGGTAAAAAACTGCTGCTGGGACGCTGATTCATGATGAGATTTCCCGTTCTCTTGTCGCTGCTGCTGGCACTCTCTCACGCAGGTACGTCGGCCGATATCGCGTGTCACGTGGGATGTACTATCCGCTTTCCGTGTTTGTTTTCATCAGTTTATTATCCGCTTTCCAGAAATTCAGCAGGCATTTGATTGGTCAGCATCAGCAGGGGAGTTAGTTTAACTTGCACTTCGTCCGGTCTCGTTCTCTTCATACCACGGGCGACTCGGCTGCCTGTTTCACAATTTAGCCTCGGTCGTTTTCTCGATTTAGCCTCGGTCCGTTGCTCTCATTCACTGATCGGCGAAACGAATTTCTCCGTGTCAAGTCTCTCCTCAGTTAGGACGCGACGCGGCGCAACGTTAACTCTGCTTGACACACTCTCTTAATCTCTGTTTATAAGTCACCATGTGACACTTGAGTCGACTCAAAGTCACTTCCACGGACCGTTGCCCCTCCTTGTCACACGAACCCTACCTCTTCCCTTTCCACCCCTCCAACCAAGCTTATTCCCCCGCCCAAACCCCCCTCCATCCACTTCCCCCCTACCCCCCCCACCCACTCCTTCACCAGCGTTACCAGCGGTTCTTGCCCAGAATCAGGTGTATGATTACGTGGGTCCCGCCGCACGCGGTAACGGCGGAGCTTACGGGGGGGCTGGGGGCTACGGGGGAGGCGGCGGGGGAAACAACGGCGGAGCGACCGGGGGGCCGGGCGGAAACCGCTGGGGTGGAGGGGCAGGGGGCGGGTTCCCGAACGGCGCAGGGGGCGGGGGAGGCGGAGGGGGAGCAGGCGGGGGAGGTTACGGCGGTGGCGGGGTGAATAGCTGGAAGGCTGGCGGAAGAGGGGGACCGGGCATGGCTGGGGGAGGTTGGGGAGGAAATGCAGCTGGGGGAAATGCTGCTGGCGCGGGTAACTGGGGTGGCGCAGGCGCAGGCGCAGGTGCAGGCGCAGGCGGAGCTGCGGCAGGCGGAGGCCCTGGAATGACTGGCACTGGCGCAGACGGGACCAGGTGGGGGGGACAAGGGGGAGGGTATGGGGGGGGAGGTGCTGGCGGAGCGGGGCAATGGGGCGGAGGTCCTGCAGGGGGGAACAGGTGGGCAGGTGGCGGAGGCGGAGGCGGAGGCGCAGGCGGAGGGGGAAGTGGGGGCGGCGGAGCGTACAGTGGTGCGGGGGGCATCTGGGCGCAGGGGAATCCAAACCAGGGTGGGCCAAATGGGGCGCCATGGGGGGGTGCTGGCGCAGGAGCAGGGGGAGGCGCAGGTATGGGCGGTGGCATGGGCGGCATGGGCGCAGGGGCTGGCGCAGGTGCAGGCACAGGGCCCGCCAATGGCGCTGGCTTCCCCGCCATGGGTACAGGGGCAGGCGGGGGATGGGTGCAAGGTGCGGGGGGGAACGCGGGCGGGGGAAACCCAGCTGGGCCATGGGGCGCTGGGGGCTTTGGTCCTGGGGGAGCAGCAGGCGGAGGCATGGGGGGAGCAGGAGGCGGAGGCATGGGCGGAGCAGGCGGCGGAGGCATGGGCGGGCCTGGGGGCGGAGGCATGGGCGGAGCGGGCATGCAAGAAGGAGTCATGGCGAATGGGGGCCCAACGGGCTTGGCAGGGCAGCAAGCGTATGTGCAAGCGCAGCTGGAGCTGCTGCGGGAGCAGGGGCACGGACCCTTGCCAGGGATGGGCGCGGATTTCAGAACCTTTCCGCCCATCACTGCGGAGGCCTGCTTGCCTTTAGTGAATGAGTTTGTAGAGAGGATGATGGCGGATCTACCCAAGGGGCTGGATATTCATGATCGGAAGCAGGAGCCGATCAAGGACCTGCTGTTCTTCCTGCATGTGCCTCGCACGGGCGGACGCACATACCACCAATGGTACGCAGTGCTGCTGTGTGGTGATGTGATGTGATGTGCTGTGATGTGCCTTGCTGTGCGGTGCTGTGCGGTGTTAAGCTTCGTTATGCGGTGCTACTCGGGTGGGCGTGTGATGGTTCAGCAGAGGCGAGCGTGACACAATGCTTAGTTCTGACAAGGCTTGCTGTTTCGGTGGATTTGGATTTACCTCATTACATGACAAGGCTTAGCTCTGTCTCCTCCCTCTTGGCTCCTTTCTTCCACGACCATTTCCCTAATCGTTCTCCTCGCCCTCTCATCCTTTCCCCACTTTCTCCCTTGTTCTCCCCATCTGCCCATGTCATGTCATGGCACCTGTTGATCTTACCTCTGTCCTGTCCATGCTGCCCCGTGCAGCTTCCTCAAGCCTCTGTTCCCCGTGTCGCTGCGCTGCCCTCGCTCCTACGACGAGCTCCGCTTCGACCCATCGTAAGGCGCCGCCAACACCCATCACAATTGCATCGCATCGCATCATATCATTTCACAAAAAACAAACAACCTTCCCATCTCTACCCCTTCACACTTCCCTCTCTCCCAGCAAGCTGCAGTGCCAGCTCATTCCCACCCACGCACAATGACTCTCTCCTCCTAAAAAAACCCGTTTTCCCTGTCCGCAACCCCCACTCAAACCCATCTTCCCTCCCTCCCCTCCTCTCCCTCTCCCAGGAAGACTCAATGCCGCCTGCTCTCAACCCACGACGACTACTCCCTAATGACCGCGTCCTCAGCGCCTACGAGTTCACCGTCGAGGTCGCCTTGCGCTCGCTGCACTGGCTGGGAGGTGGGGGGACGAACACCCAGCCTACTGGCTGCTGGCGCCTCTGAACGCCTCATGACCCTCCCCTCTTGCCAAATCCCCTCCCTTCCCTCCCTCCCCTCTCCTCCTCCCTCCCTCCCCTCCACTCTCAGAAAACCCCAGTGCCGTCTCCTCTCCACGCACGACGACTACTCCCTAATGACGAAGCTCCCCCCCGCCAACACATCATTCGTCTCGTCCATGCGCGACCCCGTGGACCGCGTCCTCAGCGCCTACGAGTTCACCGTCGAGAGGGGGGGGAGGGGGGGAGAGAGAAAGGGACCCTGCTGTCTGCTGGCTGCTCCCTTCCTTCTAACGCGCTCCAGGACGCCCCAGAGCGCGCCTAGCCCCAGAGCCAGCACATGAACTGATGCCTCCTCCTCGCCTCCTTCCCGCCCCTCCCCTCCCTCCCCCCCACAGCAAGCCCCAGTGCCGGCTCCTCTCAACCCACGATGGCTACTCGCTGATGACGAAGCTCCCCCCCGCCAACACATCAGTGGTGCTGTCTATGCGCAACCTCGTGGACCGCGTCCTCAGCGCCTACGAGTTCACCGTCAAGAGGGGGGAGCGGGGAGAGACCCTTCTGCCTGCTGGCTGCTCCCGTCCATCCAACACTCCTCTGGACGCCTCATGACTCTTCCTTCCTCATGCCAAATTTCTTCCTCTCCTCTCCTCTCCTCCCTCCCTTCCCTTTTCCAGAAAACCTCAGTGCCGTCTCCTCTCCACGCACGAGGACTACTCCCTAATGACGAAGCTGCCCCCCGCCAACACGTCGGTCGTCTCCTCCATGCGCGACCCCGTGGACCGCGTCCTCAGCGCCTACGAGTTCACCGTCGAGAGGAGAAGGGGGGACCTTACTGACTGCTGGCTGCTCCCTTCCATCCAACGCGCCCCAGAGCCCACCCAGCCCCATGCCCACGAACTCATGCCTCTTCCTTCCTGCCAAACCCCCTCCCTCCCTCCCCTCCTTCCCCCTCCCAGCAAGCCGCAGTGCCGTCTCCTCTCCACGCACGACGACTACTCCCTAATGACGAAGCTGCCCCCCGCCAACACATCGGTGGTCTCGTCCATGCGCGACCCCGTGGACCGCGTCCTCAGCGCCTACGAGTTCACCGTCGAGAGGAGAAGGGGGGACCTTACTGACTGCTGGCTGCTCCCTTCCATCCAACGCGCCCCAGAGCCCACCCAGCCCCATGCCCACGAACTCATGCCTCTTCCTTCCTGCCAAACCCCCTCCCTCCCTCCCCTCCTTCCCCCTCCCAGCAAGCCGCAGTGCCGTCTCCTCTCCACGCACGACGACTACTCCCTAATGACGAAGCTGCCCCCCGCCAACACATCGGTGGTCTCGTCCATGCGCGACCCCGTGGACCGCGTCCTCAGCGCCTACGAGTTCACCGTCGAGGTTGCCTCTCACTCGCTGCACTGGGAGGGAGGAGCGGGGACGAACACCCTGCCTGCTGCCCGCTCCCTCCCATCCAACGCGCCTCTGAACGCCTCGTGCCTCTTTTCTCCTGCCAAATCCCCTCTTCTCCTTCCCTCCCTTCCCTCCTTGCAGCAAGCCCCAATGCCGGCTCCTCTCAACCCACGACGACTACTCCCTAATGACCAAGCTCCCCCCCGCCAACACATCGGTGGTCTCGTCCATGCGCGACCCCGTGGACCGCGTCCTCAGCGCCTACGAGTTCACCGTCGAGGTCGCCTCGCGCTCGCTGCACTGGGTGCCCAGCCTTAACCCCGGGGAGAGCTTGCTGGAGGCCAGACGGAACGCCCGCAAGCGGTTCTCGAAGGCCTCGCACGCGGAGACGAGGCGTGTGTGGCCGTGGAGCATGCTCATTCCTATTATGGAGGATGATCTCTGGCTCAGAGTGCGTGGGCTGGGTGGGGTTGGGTTCGGTTTGGTGGGATGGGTGGGTGGGTGGTTGTGAACCCGGAGGGTGTGGCCGTGGAGCATGCTGATTCCTATTATGGAGGATGACCTCTGGCTCCGGGTGGGTTGGGCAGGGTGGGTGGGCTGGTTGGGTTTGGGTTGGGCTCGGTTGGGTGGGTGCAGGTGTGTGATGTGATGTGATGTGTGACGGTGCCGCTGATATGTGAGTGCACCGTACTCCTCGCGCTCGCTGCACTGGGTGCGGTTGGGTTGGGTGGGTGTGTGCGTGGGTGGGTGTTGGTAGTGTGGGGTGGGTCAGTGAAGCCCAATGGGAGGGGGTGGAGCAGAGGGTGTGGCCGTGGAGCATGCTCATTCATTCCCATCCTGGAGGTGCGCGGTTTGGGTTGGTTGCGTGCGTGCATGGTGGGGTGGGGTGTGGGCGTGGGTGTGGGCGTGTCCGTGTCCCCGGGGAGCACTTTCGAGTCGACTCAAAGGCCACCCCACCCGTTTTCCCACCCATTCTCCCATCCCGCCCTACCCCTCTTACCTCCCCCCGCCCCTTCCCCCTAACAGCGCAACACCACGGAGATCCCACTGCCGCCCGAGGGGTCGGAGTCGCTGAACGGGTATGACAAGGGGTACCTGGTGATGCCGCTCATTGACTATGTCAACAGCCCTGCCGCCATGGACCTCATTCACAACGGTGCCACCTTCCATGTGAGTGAGCCTCACATGCACTCACTCACCACTGAGACGATTGTTGAAGCGCCACACTCAAAAAGGGGCTTATGGACCATGTCAACAGCCCTGCCCTGCCCCGCCGCCATGGATCTCATTCACAACGGCGCCACCTTCCATGTGAGTTGAGCAGCCGGCGCCGCATCATCATTTCGCGGACGAGATTTTTTAGCGCCTTAAAAGAAGTCATTCACGTGATAGTTTTTTTTTTTTTTTCTACTTCTTCTTCCAGCATAGGTGCAAATGCTTGCGGTTGGCGCGTTTGCCTGGTGTGCGTGGTTCCTTCCTCTCTTCTTTGTGAAACATACCCATCCACGCATCCACCCATCCACCCACCCCACCACCACCCTCCCACTCACCCTCTTGCTCTCTCTCACCAACCACCCACCACGGGCCCACCCTCCCACTCGCAGGTGGCAGGCATAACACAGAACTCCCGGTACCCCAACGCACGCATGCTGAGGCGCTGTGCGTCCACGTTCAAGGACTCTGCAGACAAGATACTCACACTCGCCAAGGTGCATACCTTCCCTCCCCACACCCCCTCCCCCCTGCACTGCTGCACCACACCATACTCATAACCCGCCCGCCCTTTCGAGTCAACTCAAAAGTCGTTTTGCTGCGGCGCTGTGCGGCCATGTACAAGTTTTGAGACGTCTCGTTTTGAGACTTTTTGAGACGCCTCAAAACTCAAAACTGAGACGTCTCAAAACTAGCTGCGGCGCTGTGCGGCCATGTACAAGGATTCGGCAAACAAGATACTCGCCCTCACCAACCAAGGTGGACACCACTCCCCCCCAACTCCTCCCCCCCCCCACCCCACTCCCTCCTTTTCCCCCTACACTCACTCTCTGATCAAAGCCACACTCACCCTTGTCAGTGTGCCCCCGCCCTGCATATCCCCCCTGCCCTGCACTCAAGCCTAGCTCTGTTGGTGATTTCATTTAGCCTTTCTAGATTCTTGTGTGGCAACAGCTGCTTATGGATCCACCCAAGCGTACTGCACCCAAGCGTTCTGCACCCAAGCGTTCTGCACCCAAGCGTTCTGTGCAGCACAGCATTTCCCTGTTTCCACGTGCTTCTCCCTCCCAAACGCTTCTTTGTTTCCTGAAATCATGTTGCATGGTGGTGTATTTTATGGTGCATCCTGCATGCTGCATGGTGCTGCATGGTGCTGCATGGTTCTGCACACAGGCGCATCTGGCGAACATGCTGCATGTGGGGCTGACAGAGGTGCATGAGGAGTCTGCCGTGCTGTTTGCCGCCACCATTGGCCGATCCCTGCACTCCGCACCGCACCTCAACAACGGTACATATGCTCTCTCTTCTATCTTCTCTCCTCTCTCTGCTCTGCCACCTCTCTTCGCTTCCGTGCCTGTGCTTGAGTTGACCGAAACTTCATGCTATGTGTCGTGTGTGATGAGGTGACTTTTGAGTCGACTCAAAAGTCACCTCATGCCATGTGCCGTGGGTGATGAGCCTATTTTTGAGTCGACCCTTGCTGTTGACTGAGCCTTAGTGCTATGTGCCGTGCTGCCAGCCACCATTGGCAGATCACTTCATGCTGCACCACACATCAATCAACAGTACTTCTTCTTTCGTCTTGTCTATCTTTTTCTGGATCGACTTAAACATATGTGCTGTTTCGTCTCCACCATAGGCACCACGCTCCCTCTCTTCCCAAGAAGTCCTTATATTTCCCTCCTCTCTCTCTCGAACGGTCCGTTGTATTAATATCACCAAGGTACACACAGGGTAAAGCAGCAAACCACACAAAACAAAACAAAGCTACTGGTGCATCTCTCTCTAATGGCCCTTTCATTGATAGTCAAGGCGTACAGACATGCAAGGTATAAGTCAACGCAAAGGTGGGGCTAGTACTGCCTATACTTCCTATTCTCTCATCCTGCTCTGCACCCTCTAAGTGAGATCCAGTGATGGATCAAGAACCGCGAGGCAGTCCCCAAGGGACGGGGCCTCACCCACTGCTTCTAGTAGCGGGTTTTCAACTGCTGCTGCTATGTTGCACTTTTCCAGGTACCCAATCGACTGCCCACGTTGAAGAGCCACTGACCACCGCTGCCGGTATTGGTGTAAGAGCTTGGCAGCTTGGTAGGAGGTGGGCTCGGCGTTGAAAAACCGCCGTGCAGCCGTTTCTGCGAGTAGTTTCAAGAAGTCTACTGACTCTGGGCAGGGACACCCGTATGTCTCGACCGCTAGTGGGAAGAACTTCACCCACTCTGGGCGGTCCTTGTAAAGGCCGTGTTTCTTATCTGCTGCCTCCCGTGCCGCCCACCCCCTCCCCTTGGTGGCGTTCTCATCGCGGGTGCTGATGGGGTCTGTTACCGTCACATCGCAGATGTAGACGGCGCCAGTGGAGCGGCAGCGTAAGGCCAGGTCTGCCTTCTTCTCCTCCACTGGGCTGAAGGCGGCCGTCTCGATGTGCACTATGAAGCCTGCATCTTGCGCCATCCGCGCACACTCATCTCTGAGTTCATTGTGTGTGTTTGTGCGCCCCCCCCCTGTTCCGCATCGTAGCAGGTGATTCGGGAGCCGCTTATCCGGGATCTCCACCTTCTTTCTCTCTCAAATGGTCCTTTGTATTAATTCAGCAGGGGGTACAGACATGCAATTTGACTCGTGGTTCCCTTATACCTTCTCTCTCTCTCTCTCTCTCTCTCTCTCTCTCTCTCTCTCTCTCTCTCTCTCTCTCTCTCTCTCTCTCTCTCTCTCTCTCTCGCCCTCTTTCCTCCCTCGTCCTCATCGCCATCCCTCCTTCCCTCTCTTCCTTCCTTGTAACCCTCCCCTTCCTCCTTCCTTGTGTGCAGATAATCCGAACCCGAATCAAGAGAACGCCCAGACTGAGGTGAGTGAGCTGAGCAGGGGGCGTGAAGAGAGGGGGTTTGATTGAGTCTCTGAGATGGTGTAACCAAAAGCAGATAGACCGATCCAGAATCCAGAGAATGCCGGGACTGAGGTGAGTGAGCTGAGCAGGGGGCGTGGTGGGAGGGGGGTTTCTTGTGTGAGACGTCTCTGTTTAGATTCAGAGGATTCAAGAGGATCTGAACAAGAGTGCAGAGGAAGCCAGGCCTGAGGACCTGAGGTGAGTGAGCTGAGCAGGGGGTGTGGGGGGAGGAGGGTTTGTGGTTTGAGGCGTCTCAACCCAAAGCAGATGATTCGAACAAGAGTCCAGACCCTAGAGGAAGCCAAGCCTGAGGAGGACCTGAGGTGAGCGCAGGGAGGCACAGGCAGAGACAGAGGATGCAGGGGGTGTGTGGGGAGGGGAGAGGATGGTTGTGGCTTGCATTGCAGGTTGGCGAGGTGACTTTTGAGTCGACTCAAAAGTCACCTTGTGAGGGGAGAGGATGGTTGTGGCTTGCATTGCAACATTGCTTGGCAGAAGGCGGGGAGGGTTGCAGCAGCTGGGGCGGAGGCTTGTTGTTTCATGCAGTGGCACAGTACTGACACTAATACTCACGTTATGTCAACGTTGGTGAGTCAATGGTGCCTCACTGCCCCCACTCCCACCCTGCTCCCTGCTCCCTGCTCCCTGCTCCCTGCTCCCTGCTCCCTGCTCCCTGCTCCCTGCTCCCTGCTCCCTGCTCACTCTCCCACCTCACCCAATCCCCGGCAGGCGAGTGTCACGCTGCTGCACCACTGCAAGCGGTGTGTGTGGACAAGCAGCGGTGCGGCTTAGTGCCCCTCTTTCCTTCCCCTCTCACCCTCCACCTCCCCCAATACTACAGGCGAGGTCATGCTGCTGGATCACCACAGGCTCTGTGTGGACAAGCAGCGGCTTAGTGCCCCCACCTTCCCAACTCCCCCCTGCTCCCCTTCCCCTGCTCCCAAATCCCATGCACGGCAGGCGAGTGTGATGCTACGGGACCACTACAAGCGGTGTGTGTGTGGAGAATGGCTACTAGAAGCAGCGTGGCTCAGTGCCCCCCCTTCCCTTCCATGCTCACCCTCCACCTTTCCCTATCCTACAGGCGAGTGTGACGCTACTGGACCACTACAAGCGGTGTGTCGACAAGCAGAGGGAGAAGTACAACACGCGCCGCACACAGGCCATGCAGACCCTGGGGCCCCTCAACTTCTCACACCAGGTGGGTGCGTGGGTGCGTGACTCTTGAGCCGACTTATGGGGCGCCACAGGGGTACGCACAGGCAATAGGGACCCTGGGTCCCTCAACTTCTCGCACCAGGTGGGTGGGTGGGTGGGTGGGTGGTGAGTGACACTTGAGGCAAGTTGGGCGCCACTAATAGCATTCCGCACTTCAGTGGCACCCGCAGGGAAACAGGCAATGGGCGCCTGGGGCGTGGCGTGGCGTGGCGTGGCGTGTCGTGTCGTGTCGTGGCGTGTCGTGTCGTGTCGTGTCGTGTTGTGTCGTGTCATGTCGACCTCGACCTCTAACACGAGGCAGGGACTCGACTGGGACATACAGACACAGTCCCCATGCATTTCTCTTCCCAACCACTCGCCACCGTCCACTCCGCTCCACTCACTCCTGTTGCGTCACCCACTCGGTTCCCTTCCCAACCTCCTCCCCCTTCACCCACCCACCCTCCCACCCATGTGTGCGTGCATGGGCCACCACAGGAGCGCAAGGGCATCCGCAAGGAGGTTGTGCAGCGCATTCGCGAGCTCAACATGCTGGATAGCGAGCTCAACATGCTGGATAGCGAGCTCAACATGCTGGATAGCGAGCTCAACATGCTGGATAGCGAGCCGTACACATGCACGTGCACGCTTGCACTGCACACCCACCCACTCCGAACGCCGTTCTTCCCAACCACTCCCTCTCCTCCACCCTGCGATCACCACAGGAGCGCAAGGGCATCCGCAAGGAGGTGGTGCAGCGCATTCGTGAGCTCAACATGTTGGATAGCGAGCTGCTGGACTTTGCCCGCCAGGTCTTCAAGCAGCAGCAGGTGCGTAGTCAGCTGTGCTGTGCGGTAATGTGCGGTGCTGTGATGAGCTATCGTGTGCTCTGTCCTGCGCTGCTCTGCTTTGCTTTGCTCTCGCCCTTCCGTCTCTGTCCTGCGCTTTGCAACTACACACTTTCCCCATCCCTACCCAACCGCCCTCCTGCTCCCCCTGCGCGCATGGGCGGTGATGGAGTAGTGGCCCTTCACATGGGCAACAATGCCCCTCTCCTTACCTCTATCCCTCTCTTGTCCTGACTCGCTGTATCCTTTCTTTCGTGCAGTTGGTGTATGCGGACATGATCAAGGCGGTGATGGAGGAGTAGTGGCCCTTCACATGGGCAACAATGCCCCTCTCCTTACCTCTATCCCTCTCTTGTCCTGACTCTCTGTATCCTTTCTTTCGTGCAGTTGGCGTATGCGGACATGATCAAGGCGGTGATGGAGGAGTGGCCCATCACATGGGGCAACAACACTCTTCCTTACCTATATAAACCCCCCCTATCCCCGTCCCCACTCTCCCCTCACTCCCCTTTGTGCAGTTGGCATATGCCGACATGATCAAAGCGGTGATGGAAGAATGGCCCATGGACAACAACACAGACAACAGCCACATCGGCCGCAGGAGACGACTCTCCTCCCCCTATGCCTCCCCTCGCAGCACCACCGGTAGCAGCAGCAGCAGAATGTTTACGAGAGGAGGACCAGTCGCCCCTGCTGCTGGTGGTGATGCTGCGGCTTCTGGTGCTGCTGCTGACTCTGTCTCTCTAGCTGGGGATGCTAGCAGCATGCTGCAACAAGTGGGTGATAGTGATGCAGCAGTGGCAGCTGAGGGTGAGGATGGTGGTGATGATGATGGGTATGGAGACGATAATGACTGTATGTCCTACGCGTTTGAAGCAGTGGCCGGGCAATCAAGCGGCTCGCTGTAACACCGTATTTGCATTCCCTTTTTAGGGAAATACTACATGGCTGGTTGGATGAATCCTGCATCTGCGATTTGTTTATTGTTTTGATAAAAAAGAATACCGTAGGCATTTTTGGCCTGTCTCACACTACTGTATGTATTGAACCAATCACTGCATGAGACGAGAGTTGTTTATGTGTTTATGCACACTGTACGCTCTTGAACTCGGTTCTAAACTAGCACTGTGAATACATGGCCAAATGGGTACACATTGACGGTGGCACTAAGGAGGTGGCGGCGAGATGAATGATGGAATGGAGTACGAGGAAATTCTTAGTGGTTAGTGAGTACATGCATACAGTGGGATAGATATATAATTTACACGTCAACAGTGGGAGAGGAGGTACGGTATCGTACCGTAATAGGGGCATTCCGTTCATCGAAAGAGAGTAGTTCTTAAAACAATGGGTGACCTCACAGAGTGCCCCCGCTCATCCTTCCAAGTCAGACTCCCATAAAGAAACCTATTGAACGTCAAACCCGGAGGTGAAAAAAAGGTCACTGAGAAGCTGACCGAGTGTCCGGGCAGGATGCGAAATCTTTGTGGCGTCACCTTGGTGTAAACTAATGGAGGGCTCTTCACCACAGCCCTGTAAGTCGAAGCTTTCGCCGCAACATTTGTTACCCTACGTCTCACAGTTACGAATCCTGAAAACCTCGTCACCGAAATACTCGGCCGGTTTAACCGAGCTGCTTGTATGGGGTACAGCCTCTCCCCAGGATAAGCCGCCGCCGCCAATCCCATGTTCTGCCCGGCCAGAAAATTCCGAAAATCGGCCGCCCGGAGATCATATGTCAGTCCAGGATCGAGCAGCCGCTGAGGATCCACGTGTCCTGCTCCCATTTGCCATGGACTCGCCCGTCTCCCCGACCAGTTCTGAATCGGCCGGCCGTTGCTGCTTGTAACGCGGGCTGTAGTGGTAATCGCAGACATGATCTGACCCACACTCCAGGAAGGATTCCGCTGGATCAGCAACGCAGCAATCCCCGCTATATGCGGGGTAGCCATGGACGTTCCCGACAGCTGTGCAAAGAGTGAGGTGGCTGGAGAAGCGAGCCTTCGAGCGGCGGGTGCAGCAGCCCAGAGGTTCACTCCCAGGGCTATGATGTCGGGCTTGAGAATGTCGTTGGTAGGGCGGCCGTTGCGCGGGCGAGAGGAGAGAGAGAGAGGCCCGGTGGAGGAGAAGTCGGCGACGTAGGGGGGAGCAGGTGCAGAGGTAGTGCTGTTAGGCGGCACTGCTGATGCTGATGCTGATGGTGATGGTGAAGCGTTGGGGTTTGTGGTGGTGGTGGTGGTGGTGGTGGTGGCAGTACTGGTGTTTAAGGTGGGTGTGAGTGTGGATGGGGTGACTGTTGCGAGCGTGAGTGCAGACGCGTGTGAGGAGGCTTTGGCGAAGGACACACCACACCGGAGTAGGTCACCGAGCGACTGATGGTGCTGGAGGGAGGGAGGAAAGGGGCGGATAGAAGAAATGGACAAGCAGTTAGCACAACGAGTTTTTGAGTAGACCAAGTAATTGTGTGAGTGTGGATGCATGTGAGGATGATTTGGTGAATGACACACCCGAGTAGGTCACTGAGCGACTGATGGTGCTGGAGGGAGGGAGGAAGGGGGCGGAGAGGCAGGCAAGCACAACCACACACACACACACACACACACACACACACACACACACACACACACACGCACACGCGCGCGCGCGCACGCACGCACGCACGCACGCACGCACGCACGCACGCACGCACGCACACACACACACAGCAGAGACACATCAATCCAGACTCAAGGCGCTCCTTGAGTGAGAGGGCATGAAACGAAGTTGACTGTTAAAGGGCTCTGATGTGGGCAGGTGGGAGGGCATGGCATGGCATGGCATGGCATGGCATGGCATGGCATGGCGTGGCATGGCATGGCGTGGCATGGCATGGCGTGGCATGGCATGGCACGGCACGGTACGGAGTGGAACTGTGTGGTTACCTGGCTCCAACGGTGATGTAGTAGGGGAAGAAGTTGTAGACGGTGCGCGCAAAGGGAAGTGGCAGGTTGTGGCCTAGCATAGGAAATGGAGTGACACGGTACGGTGCGGCATGGCACGGCATGGCACGGTACGGTACGGCATGGCACGGCATGGCACGGCACGGTACGGCATGGCATGGCACGGCATGGTACGGTACAGTACGGCACGGTACGGCATGGCACGGAGGTGTACCTGGCTCCAACGGTGATGTAGTAGGGGGAGAAGTTGTAGACAGTGCGCGCAAAGGACGGCGCACCGGCGTTGCCCGCCGCAAACACCACGACTATTCCTGCCTGGGCGGGTACACAGGCGCATGCGGGGCGTGGTGAGGGCAGGGGGAGGACACGGGGAGGGAGACGGAGGGAGAGGGGAGGCCCAGGGGAGGAAGGGGGGAGGGGGAGGCGGAGGGGAGGGGTAAGGGGAGGGGGGAGAGGGGATGGGAAGGGAGCGGAGGGGAGAAAAAGAACCACAGTGAGTGTGTCTCAACGGAATATAAATCCAGCAAGGTATTATTAATGATGGAGTACGAAATGGCTGCTTTGCAGACACACAACGTGCACGAGCAATGAGGGTGCAAGGAGCGGGGGCGAGAGCAATGAGAGCGCGGTTTCTTTGAGGCGCTTGGAACCAGAGGAATCAGACACACTTGCCCCCGCGTGTGATAAGTCGGCTTTTGAGTCGACTAGTCTCACACAAAAAATTCAGAGGAATCAGACACACCTGCTCCTCCCCACACTCCTCACCTGAAAGGCCAAAGCCCTTCCCGCCAGTCCCACCTCAAGAGCGCGGAGGAACACCAGGTCATCAAAGTATGTGGCCGAGGGGTTGTACCCCCCCCCAGAGACAGGCTAACTTGAGTCGACTCTCGAATCGACTCAAAAGCCCCCCACCACCACACCACCCACCTCAAAGGCGCGGAGGAACGGCAGGTCATCAAAGTACGTAGCCGAGGGGTTGTACCCGCCCAGGGACAGGCTCAGCACATCCACACCATCGGATACGGCCTGATCCACGGCTGCAAAGAGGTCCGCGTAGTTGCCTGAGCCGTACCCCCCCGCCACCCGCCAGAGCACCTTGTACATGGCTATGCGCGCCCGCGGCGCCATGCCGCTCGCCCTGCCGAGGGACTGCGTGGCAGAGACCTGTGCTGCCGTGTTGCCGTTGCCTGCTGCCGCTCTGGTAAGGGGGGGGGGGGGGGGGGGGGGGAGAAGGGGAGGGCAGCACGGAGATGGCGTTGGTGAAGGAAGGTCGCATGGGTTAGGGAATGCAGGCAGCCCATGCATTCCCTCCCTGGCTGGGGCTTGCACCCTCACCCCCACCCTCTCCCCTTTTCCGCCGCCTGCCAGAGCACCTTGTACATGGCTATGTGTGCACGTGGTGCCTGCCATGTCGCTTGCCCGACTGAGGATCTGCGTGGCAGACTTTTGAGGCGCCTCAAAAGGATCTGCGTGGCAGAGACCTGTGCTGCTGTGTTGCCGTTGCCCGCTGCCGCTCTGGTTGGTGTGGGGGAAGGGGAGGGGGGAGTTGGAAGGAAGTGTGGAGTTGGGAGGGGGGAGGAGAGCTTAATTGTGAGGATTGCAAGGCATGGAATGTAATTGGGTTGGGTTGGGTTGGGTTGGTTCGCCACACTCCATGTGGAAGCGCCACACTCCTCCACGCCCCAACAGCCCATCCACACCACACCCCTTTCCCCCGGCCACTCACCCCGCACCGCACACGACGTGCCGTGCTCCACAGCACAGCGTCCCTGGGCGACACTTAGTCACACATCTATATTGGCGTGACTTTTGAGAATTCTCAAAAGTGACTTTTTGGGAGTGACTTTTGAGAATTCTCAAAAGTCTATATTGGAGTGACTTTTGAGAATTCTCAAAAGTCACACATCCTGTCTCCCCACTTGCATTCCTCCCCTCTTTGCTTCCCTCCCAGACACCCCCCACCCCACCCCACCACGCACTCAGGGCGTATCCCTGGGTGGTGGCAGGACCACTGTAGCAGGCACTGTTGGTGGCATGCGGGAAAACCGCATGCGACCAACATTTTGCCCGAGGCGCGCGCGACACGAACTTGGTGGCATTGAAATGACATTTTTGGGACATTGCCCAATCACGCACCTGTATTTGCACGCCAAATTTCCTGACACCAACCTGACGTTTTATGTGTTCGTGGCAGGCTGCCATCTACAGTGGCTCTGCCACCACCCAGGGATACGCACTCACCCTGTGCACCACGTGCCGTACCCCACAGCGTCCCTGGGCAATTTTTCGCTCGCCTCATGAATGCGCACACCCACTGCCTTTCCCCTCCTCTTCCCCGTCCCGCACACCACCCACCCACGCCCCGCCAACTCACCCTGCGCACCACGTGCCGTGCCCCACAGCGTCTCTGGGCGACGCGTACTCGCGCGTCCAGTCAATCCTCGTGCCGCCCGCCTCGAGTGCCGCCCGGAAGCTGCCGCTGCCCACAAGCTTGCCGGAGCAGGCAGTGGCGGGGAAGTCGGAGGAGGTGGGGCAGGCCCCTTTGAAGGATGAAGGTGGGGGGCCGTAGGGCGCGGACGACTGGTGGGGGGGAGAGGAGCGAAGGGGATGGGGGAAGAAGAAACTTGACACGTCTGCTTTTGAGTCGACTCAAAAGCTTGACACGTCTCAACAGTAGTTGGAGGAGGTGGGGCAGGCACCGTTGAAGGATGCTAGTGGGGGGCCGTAGGGCGTGGATGACTGGTAGGGGAGGAGAAGGCATGGGGGGAAGGGGCGGGAAGGGGAAGGGGTGGGGTGGGGTGAGGGTTTAGGGAAGGGCGGAAGGTGAGACGGGCGGAAGTGGGAGGAGGGGCAGGCCCCGTTGAAGGACGCGGGTGGGGGACTGTAGGGCGTGGATGACTGGTGGAGGAGGTGACGACGGGGAAGAGAGGAGGGAGTAAGTGGGTGGGTGGGGAAAAGGGGGGAGGGATGAGAGGGGAGGAGAACGGTGGGAGGGGGAGGAGGGATGGGACGATGGGTTGAGAGGGGCCAGAGAGAGGGAAAAAGGAGGGAGAAGGGAGAGTGAAGAAGGGAGGGAAGCGATGGATGGTGGGGAGGGCGGGGAGGAAGAGAGGGGAGAAGGATGGAGACGGGCTTCTCTGCTTGTGACTTTTGAGGCGCCTCACAAGGGACGGGCTTCTCTGCTTGAATGAATAGCACCCAGAGTCTGAAATGCCATCTCGCGCGCGGAAGACAAAGCAAGAATGAACACAATCAATAGTAGTCACATCAATAGTAGTACTAATAATAATAGTAGTACGAATAAAGGTCTTCCAGATTCTCTCTTGCACGCACGTCATTGGAGAAGGACCGGTGCTCAGGCCAGATGCCCATGTCCACCACCCCCACCACCACGCCCTCCCCACTCTCACCCACAAACGAGAGAACCACCGCCCACTCTCTATCCCGCACGCACGTCATTGGCGAAGGACCGGTGCTCGGGCCAGATGCCCGTGTCCACCACCCCCACCACCACGCCCTCCCCCGCGCTGCCCTCCCCGCCCGCGGCGGCCCAGAGCGACTGCGGGAGCTGGAGAAACGCGGGCGTGGCGGTGGTGAGCGCGCGCACCTCCGCGCTGCCCCGCACTGCTGCCACTGCGGGTGGCGTGACAGGCGCCACACCTGCTGCGGGGACAGCAGCGCCGCGAAGGAGTTGCCTGCGAAGGCGTAGCTGGTGGGGGGGAGGGAGGGACGGAGGGGAGGAGGGAGGGAAGAAGGGATTGAGGGAGGGAATGAGGCGGTGGAGGAGGAGAGGAATGGTGAATATGTCGTAAAGTAACCCCACACTGCAACACATTCCGCTGCACAACACATTCCGCGCGTCAGTCCTGTCCTACACTACACCTACCTATCCCTACGTCCCACTTCCCCGGTTCCATATTCACCTGCCTCCCAACTCGCTCTGCTTCACTCACACCCGCACATTTCAACCGCTCGTATGAGTTTCCTCCAACCGCTTCAGAAATCCTCGCCGTTTCGCCCTCTCACCGTCTCACCTTCTCACCTGCCCCCTGAGACGAGTCTACTGCACAGCCGGGATTCAGCACTGCACGGGGAGGAAATACTTGCGTAACGAGCCGGATCGACTCAAAACACACCTCACCGTCTCACATGCCCACATGAGTCGACCACACAGCCGGCCGGGACTCAGCACAGCACGAAGCCCCATGACTTGCGTAATGAGCCGATTCATATGGCTGGATCAGAGCTGATTCCCGCCTGCGCTCTCACCCACGCACGCACCTATACTCCAGGTGCCTTCCGATTGTCTAGGTGCCTCAAAACCCACGCTCACTCACTCATTCACTCACTCACCTACCTATCCACCACATGAGTGGCGCTGAGCCTTATATGTTGTACGCATCTCATGGGAAGTCTAGAAAACCCCTGCGCTCTCGCGCCCGCACGCCCGCCCGTACGTCCGCACGTCTGCACCTACCTATACAGCAGCTGCTCGGCGCGGAGGCCGACATGAGCGGCCACCAGGCGCTGCTGCCGCTGCAGCATGCGCTTGAACGCGCGAACGTGCGGAAGCCGCGGGTTCACCCGCCACTGCCGCCGCTTCCCCCCATTCGCACTCGCGGTAACTCCGTGCGCGCTTCCCGCTCCTGCCGCTCTCGCTGCTCCTGCTGCCCCCCCTGCTCCCCCTGCTCCCCCTGATCCCGCTGTTCCCCCTGCACCTCCTGCTCCGCCTGCACTCCCTGATGGGTCCCCCCCCGTGTCACCCCCCTCCTCATCACCCGTCTCCGAACCAGAGTCGGAGGGTTGTGGGGGGGCGATGGGCGGAAAGCCGGGGATGCCGCCGCGGTAGGACACGATGGGTGGGGCGGAGCGGAGATGCACGATGTAGAGGGCGCGCGCGGGTCCTTGGGCGGAAGTGGCGGAAGAGGAGAAGGGCCGAGCTTCTGCACAGCCGCGTGGTTTGGGAGGGAGGGAGAGAGTAAGGAGGGAAAGGAAAGAACGAGGGGAAGTGGGAGGGGAGGGAGAGAGGGGAGGGGGGAGGGGGAGGGGGAAGTGGGACGGGGGAAAGAAAGGGTGGCGGTAGAGTAGATGCGAAATGCTGAATCGGCGGGTACTTCGTCCAAGAACGAGAGGAGGTACGAGTTTAGTAGCTTATTGCAGCCCGAACTCCCCGTGCTGCCCATGCTGCCCGTGCCGCCCGTGCTGTTTGGTGCTGCTGCCCGTGCTGCCCGTCGCGCGCTACTGGAGGGCTACTGGAGGGCTACTGGAGGGCTACTGTCACAGCCTTACCGCGGATGGACAGGGACGATGGAGCGAGACAGGCGACGAGCAGAAGCGACAGAATCGCTGAGGCGACGGATGCGACAGGGAGTAGTGCTCTTCTGCGACGCGTGCGACAGAGAAAGATGTCGCCTGCGCCCATGCTTGGCAGACGCCGTGTGCGTGTTTCGCTCAAACCCCGCGACCACTGTGCGATAGAAACTCGTGGCGCAGGACAGGAGCGCGGGAGGGAGAGCGGCTGGGAGGGCGGAAGGGAATGGCAGAAGGGAAGGCGGAAGAGAAGGCGGAAGAGTAGCCGGAAGAGAAGGCGGAAGATAAGGCGGAAGAGAAGGCGGGAGAGTGGGCGGAAGAGAAGGAAAAGGAGACGGCTGCAATGGTAATTCGCGGGGGAGGAGAGGAAAAGGAGAGTCCTTTCACTATGATCAATCTGCCTTTGTCATTGCATTAACTGCTGGTGTTAGTCTGTATGCCAGGGATACAAGTCCTTGCGTCGATGCCGTTATATGGGCCTAATACTAAGGCGATAATGGGCACACAGCATGGTCGTACTGGAGCTGCTATGGGTGCTCTACTGCATATAATGGATACGCGTCAACGCTAGGACGCCTACCAGTGCTCTGCTGCTGTTGTCAGCAGAAATTTGCCACGCAGCCGCGGATTCTGTTTCCGCTAACCCACGGAGGCCAGTGCTTTCTCGACTCGTTTCTACCCAGTCCATCGGAACCTCCGTCGCTTCGTTCTAAGCCTCCGCGTCGTGCTTCTTACAACTAGGAGGGGCAGATTATTTTGCTAAGGCCTGGCGTCAGGCCTTGGGTGGGAGAAGATTGGTCGGTCGGTGGGTTCACAAATCACGAGTCACGACACCACGAGAGAGAGGAGGAGCTTGCGAGATGTACAGTACAAGGGCGGTACAGTATAACGGTGTGCCGGGCGGAACTGTTTGGGCACGCTTTCGGGCAGGATGATTCACAGATTTGAATTTGAAGTTTCTGGCACTCAAATGCAAGCCTTCTGTGTGCATGCATTTCTCAGAAACTGTCCGCTCCATTTAAATTATCTATCCCTTTTCAATTATGCAGTCCAGTGTGCCCTTCTGGTGGACATCGAGGTGCTTTGCCAGCCTGTATGTTTCGACACCGGAGACCACCTGGAGGGACAGGTAATCCACGGCCATCACTCCATCGAAGTCAGCCCCTAGCGCCTTAATTCAACTTTGTTTTTTTGCCCAGCAGATGGTTGTTCAATCATTTGTTGAGATATCTTGCGAAGATTAAAGTTCATAGCCGTTGTCCATCCTGACACAAAGCCGTGAAATTTTGAGAATCAAACAACAATGATGTGGAATGATCTAATGGCATGTCCCCTCTAGCAAATCAATCCCGTATAGGATCAATCTTAGCAATGCTAAAGTAATCACGCCTGAACAATCTCTTCACCTCTTTCTTTGACGATCATTGTATCGTTATGGACACACCAATATTAAAATTATGGAGTCGATGTTGGGGCTATCGCAGGTGAGAGGATGGTCGAATATGTATGCAAAGCTAGTATTGCAGATTTTGCAACCACGTGAACCGATTGTGCTCAAGCATGGGCTCACATGCCAAGTTTGATGTAAACCGCCGATCCTGCTCCAATCCGCTACCAGAGACACGTCCTAAATCTTCAGGAGGTTAGCGACAGCCAGCATGAGACCAGCCCGAAACGTTACCTATAAACGAGAATTAAGTGTTAAAAACGATGTTTATGTTTGGGCAGGGTATTCCGTTGACTGGGGGCAATTTCGTCACTCCTAATCAACCAGGCGGCGCAGAGCTACAAACGAAGGCTGACGCGACGCGAGCCGCTGTGGAAAACAAAGGTTCAAATAACTCAGTTTGCATAACGCTACATCTAGTGCTAATGATGTGGAAAGGTTGTGTTCGGAATTAGCAACGGCCAAGATGATTAAAGCAACCTAGGTAAAAATAAACTGTACAGAAAGGTGGTACGGTAAGTGCTATTAGTTAGTGAGAAAGATATCGTATACATCATCCCTACTATTCTGCAAGATTCAAAAATCTCGCTGCATCCGTAAAAGGAACCATGTGTTACGTCACGTCAAGTACAACCGCTGCCATCTCAGCATTTTCACTTCCTCACCCTCTGCACACCTCACACACGAGCCACAAACCAAACAATCCTCACCAGCCCAACATGTCCTGTGCCTGAAACACCAACCCCCATCTTACCCGCCCAAGACCACCCCCTCTCCCATTTCCAAAAAGCCTACCCACCACTCACACCCTTCCTCCACACACCACCCATCCTCCTCCACACGCGACCCACCCTTCACGAGCAAGTCGTGAGCACAGACGTGGCCACATGCAGCAGCAGCTGCAGCTCCCGCACGACTTATGAGTCGACTTTTGAGTCGGCTCAAGAGCAAGTCGTGAGCACAGACGTGGCCACATGCAGCAGCAGCTGCAGCTCCCGCACGACTTTTGAGTCAACTTTTGAGTCGGCTCAAGAGCAAGTCGTGAGCACAGACGTGGCCACATGCAGCAGCAGCTGCAACTCCCGCACCACGCTCTCGCTCAGCCTCCCCGCACCCGCTCCCGCCGCACCCCCATCGGCCCCATCACCACCCTCAGGCTTAGCAGCAGCAGAAGCCAGCACGCGGTGCACTGCATGATATAGCTGCTCGAGAATAGGGCGCATGTGCACTCCCAGCTGGGGGTGGCGCGGCTGGAGTGTCATGAGGGACTTGATGAGCCAGGGCACCTTGGTGGCGGTGTCGGCTTGCAGGTCCACGCTCAGTTGCTGCACGAGGGAGAGGAGAACCCCCTGGCTGAGGGGTGGCGAGGCTGAGAAGACTGTCTCCGGTTTCACCTGGCGGGAGGGGGGAGGAGAGGGATGGGGGAGTGAGTGCAGGATGGGGGAGTGAGTGCAGGATGGGGGAGTGAGAGCAGGAGGGGAGGAGGTGGAGAACGGAGTGGAGGTTGGTGGGCTTGGAGAGGGGCGGGGATGAGCATTGAAGGTGACGAGGGACGAGAATCAGGAAAGAGGAGAGGGATTCAAGTTCAAGCGGAAGAAAGACATGAGCGAGCGGCAACAAGGAGAGGCGTCTGGGAGCAACAGAACACCTGCGACAACCAGAACAACTGGGAGCATCAGAACATATCCGAGCAGCAGCAGCAGCAGCAGCAGAGAGAGGAAGTGCACCTGGGAGCAGAGCCAGGTGACGATGGCGACGTCAGAGAGGGAAAGGGCGCGGGTGAAGGCAGCCTCGTAGCTGCCGTCTGCCAGCAGGCGCGAGATCTCCCTCGTGGGGTCTAGCGCTGCTTCCAGCTGCTCCAATGGCACCGCCTGCAGGGAGAAGGCAGGGTGGGGGATGGGATGGGGGAGGCGGGGAGTGGGGGAGGGTGGAGGGTGGAGGGTGGAGGGAGGTAAAACAAAGCGATTTGTTGTATGCCAGCAGACGCGAGATCTCCCTAGTAAGGTCCAGTGCTGCTTCCAGCTGCTCCAACGGCACCGCCTGCTTCAAGCACCGCAGCAGCAGGGAGAAGGCGGGTTGGGGGGGAATCAGGGGGGGCTGCGGAGGGGGGGGAGCGGTCTGTTTGTCCAACTACAAGTGACGAATCTTCCTGGTGGGTTCCAGCGCTGCTTCTAGCTGCTCTAGAGGCACCCTTGCCACGAATCCAGTGCTGCCTGCAATCACGTCAAGAGTCGCCAACAAGCAGGCAGCGCAGCAGCACCAACCAGCGCACAGTGAGGAGAAAGGGGAGCGAGGCGGTGCAAGAAACAAAGGGAAAGGCGGGTTACAGAATGAAATCTTTGGATGAATACAGATCCATGTATAAAATCCATCCACTCACCTTTCCAGCCAGCCCGTTCCCCTGCGCAGTATCAGCAGCTGCTGCTGCTGCAGAGCCCTTGCTTCCTGCTGCCCCTGCCGCTGCTACTCCTGCTGCTGCTGCTGCCGGGGCTGCAGCTGTGGGAGCAGCGGCAGCAGCAGGCAGGGCAGTGAGAGCCTGCAGATGCTGCTGCAGAGTTGAGGAGACCGAGTTGAGCGATGCAACGGACTCCTGCACGTGGGTGGAGAGAGGAGTGGGAGAGAGGAGAGAGGAGTGGGAGGGAGGAGAGAGGAGTGGGAAGGAGGAGAGAGGGGTGGGAAGGAGGAGAGAGTGGTGGGAAGGAGGAGAGAGGGGTGGGAGGGAGGAGTGAGGAGTGGGAGGGAGGAGAGAGGGGTGGGAGGGAGGAGAGAGGAGTGAGAGGGAGGAGATGGGGTGGGAGGGAGGAGAGAGGGATGGGAGGGAGGAGAGAGGAGTGGGAGGGAGGAGAGAGGGGTGGGAGGGAGGAGAGAGGGGTGGGAGGGAGGAGTGAGGAGTGGGAGGGCGGAGTGAGGAGTGGGAGGGAGGAGAGAGGGGTGGGAGGGAGGAGAGAGGAGTGGGAGGGAGGAGAGAGGGGTGGGAGGGAGGAGAGAGGAGTGGGAGGGACGAGAGAGGGGTGGGAAGGAGGAGAGAAGGGAGGGAGGGAGGAGAGAAGGGAGGGAGGGAGGAGAGGGGTGGGCGAGAGGAGAGCGGGGTGGGGAGAAAACAGCTTGATAATTGAGGCGGGTGAAAGAGGGGAGGAACCAAACCACATAATGGTTGATTTTTCCAGTAGTTGGTGACTTAGAAGGGGTGTAAATCGAGACCTTATCGAATACCAGGCAGAGCATTGGTTACCTTAACCCCCATTTTCTTAAACCTTGGCAAATACAAAACCATGAAAGAAAGGAGAGGGGGGAAGGCCGGGGGAAGGGGAAGGGCGACAATGGTAGGAAGGAATGAGGGAGAGGGAGAGAGCGATACGGCAGAGATTGCAAAGACTCCAGGTACTCCAGATTCTTCAGCTACAGCAGTAGCACACGCATACGTACGCGCACGCACGCACTCACGCATCCCCACATCCACCCCCACCCCCACCCCCCTCCACCACCACCCCCCCCACCCACCCACCCACACAACGCACCTGGATGGAGGCCTTAGCAGCAGCAGTCACGCCCTGCATCTCCTGCTGCATCTTCACCACCTGCTGCTGCTGTAGCGCCGCCAGCTGCTGCTGAATCTGCCCCTCAACCGCTCCCTGCACCGCCGCCTGCACCGCTGCCTGCACGGCCGCCTGCTGTGCGGCCTGCTGCGCTGCGAGGCCGGAGCGCAGGGAGCGGTCGAGCTGCGAGAGCATCTCCCGCACGGCCCGCTCCATGGCCGGTACTGCTGCCTCTGTGAAGGCCCGCTGCACCGCATCGGATAGGGACGCCTGCAGGGATGACTGGAAGCGGGGGGAGGGAGGGGATGGGATGGGACGGGTGGTGGTGGAGAGGTGGTGAGGTGCAGTGATATGGATGATGCCCCATCATGGTTGGAAGGACTTCTTCTGAGGCGCCTCAGAAGTAAGCCTGCACAGCCGCCTGTTGCGCAGCCTGATGGGCTGCAAGGCCGGAGCGCAGGGAGCGGTCGAGCTGAGAGAGCATCTCCCGCACGGCCCGCTCCATGGCGGGCACTGCTGCCTCTGTGAAGGCCCGCTGCACCGCATCGGATAGGGATGCCTGCAGGGAGGACTGGAAGGGAAGAGGAGGAGGGGGGGGGGGGAGGGACGGGTGGTGGAAGAGAGGTCTTTCGAGGCACCCCAGAGGGAGAGCATCTCCCGCAGGGCCTGCTGCATGGCCGGCACTGCTGCCTCTGTGAAGGCTCTCCGTACCGCGTTGGATAGGGACGCCTGCAGGGAGGACTGGAAGGGAAGAGGGGGGATGCGTGGTGGATGAGGAGAGGCACGGAGGCGCGTTAGAAGGTGCGAGCCACGCCAGGGATGGAAGAGCGGCGGCGCTAGAGAAGAAAATGCTTAAGAAAATGCTTGGGAGAACTGTGCCGTAGCTAAGGGGAATAATTGGGAAAACCGTCAGGGACTGGGTGATGAAGGAGAGGATTTGAAGGCTTGAGAGTGGTGCTTGCTAGATGTAGTGTCAATGGTTGAAATAAAGAGCTAGGGCAAGCGAGGAGTGGAAATGGCCAGCCGAAAGAATCCAAAGGGACGAGACAATGGGGTTGGAAAAACAAAGAGTGGGATTGGTAAACAACAATTGCAAAAAAACCAGACAATCGCAAGCAACGGGGAGGAGGAGAAAAGAGGGTCGGGGGGGGATCACAAACGCACATGTAAGGTTGTGTGTGAGTGAGAAACTGAGAGGTTTTGAGGGAGAGACAGCGGGGGGGTGGGAGGGGCGAGAAGCAAGAGGAAGGCAACGAAGGGGAAGACAGAAGGAGCAGTTGAGGCTTACAGCGACGGCTGGTGGGATGAGAGCGGTGGTGTGCGTACGCACATCCTCTGTGAGGGTCTGCCCAAGAAGCTGGCATGCATGGGATAGATGGCATGGCATGACATGACATGGAATGACATGGCACGAATGGCATGGAATGACATGGCATAGAATGACATGGCACGAATGGCATGGAATGACATGGCATAGAATGACATGGCACGAATGGCATGGCATGGAATGACATGGCACGAATGGCATGGCATGGAATGACATGGCACGAATGGCATGGCATGGAATGCCGCATGCAGACAGTGAGCAGCAGAACGAGAGGTAAGGAAGCACACAGGAGAGGCGAGACTATTGAGACAAAGCTAAAGTAGACTCGTCACATAAGGAGGCATGCGGAGGGGCAAGGAAAGGGTTGATGGAATCACAGCAGGCCGAGGGAGGGGTGCTGCAAACTGACAGGTGACAGGTGACAGTTGACAGTTCACAGTTGAAAGACGAATAAATTATCAATGAATGGAGCAGATAAGAACGTCTTAAGCCACTTACATTCCACAATGACCCCTCATTGCATCCCATGGCCCATCCATTTTTCCACCTCCCCCTTACACCTCTCACCCATCCCACCCACCCACACCCACCCTCCCCCTCCCCTTCGCGATCCTTGACCCGCATTCCCATGCCCCTTTCTCTTTCCCTCCCCCTCCCGCTCCCCCTCCCCCTCCCAATCCCCATCCCCATCCCCTCCGCCACCACCAACCCACCTTGATCTGAGCCGAGACCGCTGAGTCGAGAGCAGGCAGCACGGCGCTACGCACAGCCCCCACCACCTCCCTCGCCACTGCGCCTTCCACTGCCGGAACCACCTGCTGCGCGGTCCCACTCACCACCGCCGCCGCCACCGCTGCCACCACCTGACCCTGCGCTGCCTTCTCGGCCTTCTCCCGTTTGGCAGATTCTTTTGCTAGGTCTTCCTGGATTCGGGACTGGCATGCGTCTGCGTGGGTCTTGGTGGCCCGGTCTACGCGCTGGGAGAGGGCCGCTTCGAGGCGCTTCGTTTCCTTGAGGAGAGGCGTGGGGACGTGCTTTGCTGCCTCCCGCTGCTGCTGCAGGAGCTGGTGGGGGGAGGAGACGGAGGGGAAGATGGGGGGATTGGACGGGAGCAGAGAGAGGAGGGAGAGGAGGGAGAGGAGGGGGGAGGGGGGGAGAGGGGAGACATGGTGAATCGGGAGGGAGAAGGGAGAAGGAAATTGGGGAAGAAACAGGGGAGGAAGTGGAGTAAGGGAAAGCAGGAGAAAGAAAGTAAGCAACGCGTGTGTGTGACCGAGGGGATGCAGGGAAGGGCAGACGGACCCGGGGGCTAGTGTGGGGGAGGAGAGGAGCGATGAAGAGGGGAAAGAGAAACGCGCGAGAATCACAAAGGGCGGGGGCAACGAGCTTGAAACACCCACTGATTGGACAGTCGAATGCAGTGCTGCCACGTCACTCTTGAGTGCCTGGATGGACGCTGACATAGCTGCCACGTCAGCAGACCCAGCTGCCCCGGCAGACACAGCAGGAGCAGCCCCGGCTGCAACAGCACCAACAGCCGGTGCAGGCAGCATAGGCGAAGGTGCCAAAGCTGCTGTTTCTGCTGCTGGTGATGGTCCTCCTGTTGCTGCTGCTAGCATAGCGGCAGCGGGGGGAGCAGGAGCAGAGTCAGAGGGAGCAGCAACCGAAGCTGGTACTGTCACCTGAGTGTGACCCTGAGGGTGCGTCTCATCTGCTCCGATTGCCGGCACGATCACAGCACCACCCACGCCACCACCACCAGCACCACCAGCAGCACCAGACCCAGCATTTGCTGCTGCCGGTGCCGTACCCGCGCTACCAGCAGCAGCGGCAGCAGCAGCGGCGGCAGTCTTGTGCTTGTTCTTGCGGTTCTTATGGGAGCCATGGCCAGCGGCATGGACAGGGCCATGCGCCGGGCCATGCACATGCACGCTGCTGGGAGCAGCAGCAGCAGCAGCAGCAGTTACGGCAGTGCTTGCAAGAACAGCTGCCTGCTGCACTGCTGTCGTTGCAGCAGGTGCTGTTACCACTGGTGCTGGTGCTGCAGTTACAGGTGCAGCAGGAGCAGGCACTTGAGTTGCTGCAGTGGGAGCAGTGGAATCAGCAGCAAGTGGAGTGGAAGCGACTGGCTCTGCTTTCGCTGGAGCTGTAGCCGCCGCTGCTGCTGCTTCTGCTGCTTCTGCTGCCGGTGCTGGCGCTGGCGTTTCAGGCACAGCAGTTGCAGGGGCGGGAGGAGGTGCCTTTGCTGCAGCCACGCTGCTTGCAGCAGCAGCAGCAGCAGCAGCAGCATCGCGGTACGAGATGGGACCCTTGTTGCTCTCTCCACCTCCTTCGCTACCTCCCACTCCTTTCAATGCAACTGATGATTCCGCTGCGCCCTTCTCCTCAGCAGCCTCCGCCTGTAGCCGATCAGCAATAGCGAGAGCGCCATCAGCAAGAGCACGAGCGCCATCAGCAGAGGGAGCACCATCAGCAGGGAGAGAACCAGGCGCCACCACTGCAGCCCCTCCTTCGGCTGTTGCAGGAGCCGCAACCAGGGGAGCAGCAGAGGGAGCAGCAGGAGCGGTGGCACTGGCAGTGGCGGGGGAAGCAGTGGCAGTGGCAGCAGGAGAGGGGCCACTCATGCCCATAACCATGGCCAGCAGTTCCTGGGGCGTCACTAGGTGCGGACGCCCATCTGTCCCTCCTCCTCCTCCACCTGCCACCGCAGCTGTTCCGTCTGCTTCTGCTTCTGCAGCTGCCCCTAGTCCTGTTTCTTTGCCCTCCGCTTTCTCTTCCTTGACTGTACCAGCACCCCACACGTCTACCGGGCCTGACACTACTGCCTTTTCTGCTCCTGTCCCTTCTTTGCCTGCTGCTTCTGCTGCCGCTGAAGCTGCTGCTGGCTCTGCTGCTGCTGGTTCTGCTGCTGGCGGTGCCTCTTCCTGTGGTGCAAGCGTCTCTGCTGCTGTGATGGCCGGCGTTTCGTCTTCCGAGGAAGGAGGTAGGCACATGTCAACAGGGAGGGAGTACTGCTGTATGGCCTGTGTCTGCATGCAAAACAGCTGCACCAACTCCACCTCACCCGACCCATCATTACCATCCCAGCCACCACCCTTCCCACCCCCTCCCTCACCTCCTCCTCCTCCTCCCCCTCCTCCCTCACCACCACCATCACCATCCGCACCCCCTCCCCCACTTCCAGACTCCCCTCTCCCTTCATCCCCTTGCTTCCCCTCTCCCCCTGCCCCTGCGCCCCCACCTGCGCCTTCCCCCTGCGCGCCCTCCTCTGCCCCGTCCCCATTAGGAGCAGCCAAATAGGCAGTAAAGCTAAGAATAGGCATGGTGACGGAAAAGTGAGCGATGGATTGGAAGCGGGAGAGAGTGGGGGAGGCCGGGTCGAAGCGGACAGAGACAGCGTAAATTGCCTTCTGGAGTGCGTCGGTGAGGAGGACAAGACCCAGGGATTGCACCACTTGCAATTGGCAGAACACCCCGCTGCTGCCGCTCACACCCACGCTGCTGCTGCTGCTGCTGCTGCTGCTGCTGCTGCTGCTGCTGCCGCTGCTTTTTGCAGCAGTGGGTTTGAGCGGGGGAGCGTCGGCTAGAAGCTGCAACGTGTGAATGCAGCGCCAGTTGTCCTGCTGCACGCTGCTGGTAGAGGAGGGAGAGGCGGAGGAGGAGGAGGAGGTGGAGGTGGAGGCCCATAGCTTTAGCTCGCTGTTGTTGGGACCCTGTATGGGTGGTGTTTGGGAGGGAAGGCCAGACGAGCGGGATGAGGGAAGGAAAGAGACAGGAGCACACATGTGTGTGAGGACTCGCCTGCAGCTGCAGCCAGGCTGAAAGGGACAAGACGGGATTGACTGTTTTGACCGTGTACCCATACCTACCCCAACGAACAGAGCAGAGCACTAACCCGGTGAGCAGGAGTACATCACCCCCGCAGTGAGCAGAGCAGAGCACATAACCCTTTCAGTGAACAGAACATGTACCGGAGCAGAGCAGAGCACATACCCCGGTGAGTAGGAGCGCGTGGTTGGAGGGAGCCGAGGGCGGGAGCAGGAAGAGGGCGGAGAAGACAGGCTGAGAGGCGTGTGGAGTCATGGCAGACACACACACCGTGCTGCTCCACACTCGCACCTGGTGGGAGAATAGGCGAGAGGTGGTGGAGAGGGGTTTTAAGGAGAGGGGATGGAGGAGGAGAAAACTGTGATAGTATTTGCGCATGATTTGAAGGGAGTGAATAAAGCAAGGAGAAGACTGGGGGGAAGAACGGGGCAGCAATTGGGGGAGAGGAGGAACGAGCAGCAAAGGGAGGGAGAGAGGAAGGGAAGGTGGGCAAGGGAAGGGGGGGAAAGTGGAAAAACACTGGGTTGGAAACAGTTCTTCAACCACCCACCCATCAACACGGTGCCACGCCATGCCACACCATGCCACACCATGCCACACCGTGCCACACCATACCACACCGTGCCACACTGTGCCATACCATGCCACGCCATGTAAAACAGCAAGCGCCGTATTCTGAGAACCCTCAAAGTTCATATCGTCCTACCGTGCCGTCTAGCGAGGGGGTCGGGAGCAGCGTGCAGGCAGAGGGCTCGGGCAGCAGAGAGGGCACAGGCGCGGAGTGCCCCTTGAGAAGAATCACCCCCTCCACTATCGCCCGCGCCTCAGCTGCCACTCCTGCTGCCCCTCCTGCTTCTGGTGCTGCTGCTGCTGCTGGTGGTGCTGGTTCGTTTGTGAGATCGATGACAAAGGGATCGGAGAGCGAGGGAGGCTTGGTGGGCGCTGCTGCGGCTGCTGCAGCGATGGAGACAAAGAGGACGAAGCGGTCGCACGCGACTATGAGGATGTCCTGTTGGGGGGAGAGGTGGGGGAGAGGCGGGGAAGCGTTGGGAGGGAGAGCGGGGGAAGGGAGTGGTGGATGGGATGGTGGGTGTGGTACACAGTGGAGGGGGGGGAGTGGAAGTGGGAGCGAGTGGAGAGCGGGAGAGTGGAGAGCGGGAGAGTGGAGAGCGGGAGAGAGCAGTGAGCACAGAGTTCAAGGGTAAAAGGGCGGAGGCGGAAGGGAGGGAGGCCAGGATGCGAGGGGCAAGGGGCCGACGTGACAGAGAAGGGAACACATCAGAAAGGCGAGAACAGCAGAATGGGAGGGAAGGGGGGAGGAGAAAGCGAAAAAATTGAGCTGCGGGGGGAACAGTGGAACAGAACAAGATCCCCCATACACCCAAGGCACCATCCCTAGCCACAACACTTGCTGTCCCAAAAGCCACACGCCTCCTTCCCTCCCCTCAAACTCCCTCCGCCTTCCCAACGCACGTACCTTCTGCCGGGGGTGCCAAGCCAGCTGCAGTGCAGCAGCGTCCCCCCACGCTCCCTTGAGCTGCAGCACCGCCAGCACACTGTTTGAGTCAACTCAGCCACGCGCGTACCTTCTGCCCGTGCCCACATACACGCCTTCTGCCGGGGGTGCCAGGCTAGCTGCGGCGCAGCAGTGTCCCCCCACGCGCCCTTAGCTGCACCACTGCCAACACACTGTTTGAGTCAACTCAGCCACGCGCGTACCCTCTGCCCGTGCCCACATACACACCTTCTGCCGGGGGTGCCAGGCTAGCTGCGGCGCAGCAGTGTCCCCCCACGCGCCCTTGAGCTGCAGCACTGCCAACACACGCTCGCCAATAGCCGCCTTGCTGTCGCTGCCCGGCCCCTCCTCCACCCGCCGCACCACCACCAGCCCGTCCGCACTCGCACTGATGATGCCCCGCGCGCACAAGGGGGGATTGGGCAGGAGGGGAGGGGAGGGGAGAGGAAAGGAGGTGATAAGAGAAACAGATTTGGTCAGCATCACTGCTGAGACCCTCCTCCACCCGCCGCACCACCACCAGCCCGTCCGCACTCGCACTGGTGGCCCGCAAGGGGGGATAGGGGGACGGGACGGAGGGGAGAGGAGGGGAAGGGGGAGGCAGGGTCGCAGGGGAAGGAGAGGGGAGGAGGGAAGATGAGGGGAAGGAGGGGACGGAGGGGATGTTTTAAGGCACCTAAAAACAGCGTCCCGCGCAGCCTTGAGCTGCAGCACGGCCAGCACACGCTCGCTGATGGCGGCCTTGCCGTCTCTGCCCAACCCCTCCTCCACCCACCCGCCTCACCACCAGCAGCCCATCCGCACTCGCACTGATGATGCCCAGAGAAGAGGGGGTTGGGGCGAGGGGAACAAAGGGAGGAGAGTGGAGGGGAGGGGAAGGAGGAGGGAGGAGGGAAAGGTGGGGAAGGAGAGGTGTGGAGCAGAAAAGAGGGGAGAGGGAAAGGAGGGACAGGATGGGGGAGGAGGGGAAGGAGGGGAGGGGAGGGGAAGGAGGGGGAGGAACGGAGAGGAGGGGAAAGGAGGGGAAGGAGGGGAGGGGAGGGGAAGGAGGGGGAGGAACGGAGAGGAGGGGAAAGGAGGGGAAAGGAGGAGAGGCGAAAAGAGGAAAATAATGGCACGCGAGGGGGAGAATGCGGCAGGAGCTAGAGGAGACAGCATGCAAGCAGCGTTCTGATTCAACCAGTGATGAACCACGGCCGCCCCTTTCCTTCCTCCCTCCCTTTCCCTAACGCAACGCTGACCTGGCCATAATGTGCTCGTCCTCCGCAAAGAACACCATTTCTGTGAGGCATCTGTGATGGCTGCACGCAGGGCGCGACGGTGACTCTTGAGTCGACTCACAAACCAACGGCCTGGTTCTTAAGGCGCCAAATAAAGTGAATCGACTAAAAAACCACTGACCTGGCCATGAGGTGCTCGTCCTCTGCGAAGAAGAACAACATATACGTGATGCGAGCTGCACGCAGGGCGCGCTGACTATTGAGTCGACTCAAAAACCAACCCCTTGGTTTTTGAGGCGCCTAAAAAGGATGAGTCGACTCAACAACCGTGCCCCACTGACCTGGCCATGAGGTGCTCGTCCTCTGCAAAGAACACCATATATGCGATGCGCTGCACGAAATGAGACGATGTTTGAGTCGACTCACAAACCGCGCGCCTCACTGACTGACTCACTGACTGACCTGGCCATGAGATGCTCGTCCTCTGCAAAGAACACCATATCCGTGATGCGCTGCACGCAGGGCGCGATGGGACGCATGGGCGGCGGAAGGCCGGGAAACGGAGAACGTGGAGGAGGAAGTGGGGACGAGGGAGGGAGGAGGGAGGAGAACAGGATGAGGCAGACTGAAGAAGAGAGTGAGGGGAGCGAGAACGGGGGGCGAAAGAAATGACGGTGGGGAATGCGGCCGAAAGAAACGAATACGAATTCAGGTCACTAAGGGCCGGAAGGGGAAATGAGAAATCCAAACACATACGCTCCCACCTAACTCCTCAAAATAATTCCCCCACTCTCGCCTCCCGCTCACATCCCTCCCACGTTTCCGGACCTCCCATTCCCCACAACAACAGCCTTCGACCCCTCACGAACCCCACCCGCCACACCTTCTTGTGCCCCTTAAAGAGCGCGCGCAGGGCCGTATTGATGTTTAGCACACGGATGCTCGCGTTCCTGAGCGCATAGCTAATATACCGCCTGTTCACTGCTATCTGTCTCCCCGGCGCTAGCACCTCCTCTGACCCGTAAACCGTTATAGGCGACACCTCCAGCTGCGGCGGACCTGCTTCTAACGGGTCACGCTTATCCACCCTGTAGGAAACCACCTCCGCGTTTCCAGGTAAGACCTTCCCCACTCCGCGCTTGGATCTGCGCAGCTGGAGCGGAAGGGCGCTGCGGGGCGGCTCAGAATGTTCCGCGGCTGCAGGGAGCGGGGGAGCGGAAGGGGGAGCGGAAGGTGGAGGAGCGGAAGCAAGCGCGGAAGCGGCAGCTGGGGGGGTGGCGGAAGGGGGAGGAGGAGCGGACGGGGCAGCGGGCTCCCTGGGGGGAGTTTGAGGGGCGGTTGCTCCTGTTGCGCCGAAAAGAGCGCCGAGCACAGGTGGAAGGGAGGATGGGGGTGGCGCGGAGGGGGCAGAAGGGAGAGGAGGAGGCGCAGCGGGTTCCGGAGGAGCAGGCGCACTGGAAGAACAAGCGGGCGCTTCTACTGGGGCGGAGGCGTTCTCCGCGGCCGCTGGCGCAGCGGGGGAGGCGGAAGAGGGAGGCGGATGGGCCTGCGCGGGCGGCGGCGGAGGCTGCGCACCCGGAGGCGGGGGAGATGCACTCGCGGTGAGCAACGACATGAGATGCGCGCCGTGGAACGCGGGGGCGGGAGCGGCGCTCGGGGGCAAGGGGGCCGGCGCAACCGGCGGTGGAGGCGCGGGTATGTGCATGGGCGGAGACGAGGGCGGGTATTGGTACTGCGGCGCATGCATGTGCAGCATATGCGGGGGAACTCCGGACGGACCAGGGACCACATGCATCACGGGATGGCCGTGCTGGTTCAGCATACCGGGAAGAGGAGGCGGCGGAGGAGAAGGCCCCGATGTGGGACCGTGCATGCCTTGTAACGGGTATGGCATGGGTGCGCCGGGGTGCATTGGATGAGGCAGGGAGTGGGGATGCACATGGGATGGGGGGGGACCCATCCACTGACCGTACCCGGGGGGAGGGGGGGAGGAGGGTATGCCGGGAGGGGGAGGCATGGGGGGAGGGGGACTGGGAGTATGGCCGCCTTCGTTGGAGGCAGCGGCTGATTGTTGCAGTAGCGTCAATATCGGATTCGTCGGGTGCTGCGGCGACTGTTGCGGCTGTGGCTGCGGCGGCTGCTGCTGTTGCTGCTGCTGATACTGCTGCTGATGATACTGCTGCTGCTGCTGATACTGCTGCTGCTGATGCTGATACTGTTGATGCTGCTGCAGCTGCTGCAGCAGCTGCTGCTGCTCCTGCTGTTGCTGTTGATGCTGCTGCTGAGAATGATGATGTGGAAGGGGCGGCTGTCCTAACGCTCCATCCTGTTGCGGGGGCGGCTGTTGCTCATGCCCCTGCGGCACTTGTCCCTGCGGCTGTCCCTGTGGCTGTCCCTGTCCCTGTCCCTGTGCACCTGCGCTCTCATCTTGCTGCTGCTCAGCCTGCTGCTGCTGCTGCGCTTTTGCAGAAGCCGATTGAAACAGCTGCTGAAGATTCAACATCTCGGCAAATCAGGAACCACTTTCCTGGAATAGCACGGCACGGCACGGCACGGCACGACACAGACGACACGACACAGAACCAGCCGTCGGAGGGGAGAGAACGCGCAATGAGTTACAGAAATGCAGAAGGACCATTTATATGCTGGGTTCTGAATCAACTGCTGTTCCTCTCAAACAAATCGATATATCGGGATATTTCAAATCCAGCACGGCCGACCTCGACTGAGCGTCACACGTTCCGAAAAAAAAACCCGCGGAGACTGAACAACATGAATAAATATCATTTAACGTTTCCTAACTGCTGACGTTGGATCGATAACCGTGATTATGATCAGCGCGACGAAGCGAGCGACCAGCATATTATAGCGAGCTGAATTCACGACAAATAAAATCCGACAACAACGGACGTGATAAAAAAAATACTAACGACGAGAAAACATTAGACCAAATGCATCATACCTCTCTCGTTTAATAAAAAAATACGAGGAGGAGGCGGATCACCGGCAAGCTTGAGCAACACTATCACAAGACACGGAAAGGCTAGTCACTCAGCGAAGCTCAGACCAGATAGATGCGTCCAGATACGCGACGACCTGGCGGATTATAATATGGCTGGAGCTGGAATGCTTCGTCTGTGGTGAGAAATTGCATTTTGATTTTGCCAGTGTCGGATTAGGGGGTTGTGTGGAAAGAAGATGAAAAAGCCAGTTGCCCGAAGGAAGATGAGGGGAGAGTTGGGAGAGTAAACGAGAGTTGAGATTGGGTGGGATTGGGAATTGGGTGGCGTAGAACGTGGTTACGTTGCATGGAAGGAGTTCGTGTATGTTCGCTTTCAATCTGCATCGAGCTGTGGCCAATTGCCATGCAAGTAACTTCGTGTAGGCCAAATGTAAGGAATTTTCCGGATTCCTTACTGGGTCACACTATACGCGTACAACCCCGGTTTTCGGAAAACCAGGCTCGGTCCGCCGACCTCGCCTTCCGAGCCACCACCGCGTCGCCTTCGGGTTTTCCAACCCCGAACCTGCACCCAACCATCTCGCGACCCCGCGACCTCGGCCTAGCTAGCATTGCTGTAATAGTCCTAGGCCTCGTTGTTTTCTCAGACATTGTAATCACTTCCGCATTATTGAGTTCTGTGCACTCTTCCTTTCACAACTCATAACACCTGGTAGTAGAGCCTAATTTCCTAGGTTACCCTCGCGTTTCCGGGGTAGTTTGTATAAGGGGGGCGATAGACTTGGTGGGCTGTAAAGCGGTCGGCCCGTAGAATAGATACGATTATTCCACTCCGACTACGATAGCATTTACGCCTTCACCGAAGTCAGAAAAATCGCCAGCCACCCCCTGCCCGTTCGACGAAGCCTGGGGCACATGGAACATGCCGAGTTTAACGAGTTCATGCAACAGTTCCGTGCGATGCAGGCCAACTTGCAGGGCATGACTGCAGAGATGGAGCGTCTACGGAAGGAAAACGCCGAACTACACCAGGCGCGTGGTGAAGCGCGCCAGGAGTCGCCTGTCGTGGACGACGCAAGTAGCAGCACTGCACCAGATGAGCGAGTCTAGAGCGAGCTGGAAGGCGAGATGGATGCGAACGAGGCGAGGCAGACGCAGCAGCAGCAGTCACCGCAACAGTCGCATGCAGTACCGACACGTGCAGCAGCGACGACGACGGCGACGCCAACAGCGATGCCAACAGTCCTAGTGGCAGCAACGGCTTTGACAACTGTTAAAATCAAACCGTCAAACCCGCCCCCGTTTAACCCAAGTGACAAGTTCGTTACTGTGTCTGCATGGTTATTCGGCGTGGAGGTGTTTTTTAATGCTGCTATGATTTATGACGATGCCACCCGCATTAATTTTGCAATTTCACTGTTGCGAGGACCTGCGCTGGAGTGGTGGAGGCGAACGCTGCAGGACGAAGGGACTTCGGCAGGAATAGCACGTGCGAACGACGGGACTTCGACACCTGTCACGCATCGAGCAGCATCAATTTTCGGGACGGCTACGATACGCACATGGAGGGAGTGGGGCGCCGCCTTGCGAACCAGGTTCGAGCACATATCCGCCTCGGACTCTGCTCGCATGAAGTTGCGTGCCTGGAAGCAGCTGACTTCGGTCCAAGAATATACCAGCACATTCTGCAGCTTGGCGGACCAAGTGGACGATATGAGCGACGCGGAGCGGTTGGATCGCTACGTGGCGGGCCTGAAATATGAGATATAGTACGAGGTCCGACGAACGCGGCCACGCAGCTTCAACGACGCAGTCCGAGAAGCCGAGTCAACAGATGCGCTGATACAGTGGGCGAGATCGAGCTCCCGGGAGGGCCCTCGATTTCGTGGACCGACTCAACAGCCCACGATCAACGGCGTGGATGCAAAAAGCCGAGCCCTTGGGTCGTGCTTCATATGCAACCAGCTGGGCCACCTGAAAAAAGACTGCCCGCGGCTTAAGCAGGGGAAGAAGAACGACGGAGAAGGGTCGGGAAAAGATGTGAGTCAGTAGCAGACGGGCCCCCTACTGACGAGACCCTGTCGCCCGACAATCACCATCCACACCGGGTCGTGGTACCGATCAAAGCTATCGACCAAAACCGGACGAATAACGTGGGTGAACACGTGGACTACCCTGTACTGGTGGTGGGAAGGGTTAACGGTTATAAAATAAAAATCTTCGTTGACGGTGGGGCGAGTCACATCCTCATCATGTCAGAATGTTATTCTCTAGCCTGTAGTGGGGTGCTCTACAGCGAGTACAACCCATCTAGGGTTTGCTATATGTGTCCTCATTGCTGCTAGTGAACTCCTCTTTTTTTGCCTAAACTTCTCTTGCCTAGCTAGGGCTTACCTAGCTATGGCTCCTCGTTCTAGCCTTAATCTTAACATGGTTTCAGAGCACTCACGCTCCCAGCCTGTGGGCCCTACTGCTGCTTCCGCTGCCCTACTCTGTGTCGCGCGCCCCGTGGCGCGCGACCTCCAATTTTTCATCCCGCCGCGCGCCTCGAGGCGCGCGGCGGTTTTCTGCCCGCCGTGCGCCCCGAGGCGCGCGGCGGTTTCCTGCCGTGGGGGAGCCCGCGCGCGCCCCGCCCGTCCGTCGCGGCGCCCTGGGGAGCACGCGCGGCCCCCACCCTGCACGTCGCGACGCCCTGGGGAGCCCGCGAGCGCCCCGCCCGTCCGTCGCGACGCCCTGGGGAGCCCGCGAGCGCCCCGCCCGTCCGTCGCGACGCACTGGGGAGCCCGCGAGCGCCCCGCCCGTTCGTCGCGACGTCCTGGGGAGCCCGCGCGCGCCCCGCCAGTTCGTCGCGGCGCCCTCGGGAGCCCGCGCGCGCCCCGTCAGGCCGTCGCGGCGCCCTGGGGAGCCGCGCGCGCGTCCCCCCCGCCCGTCCGTCGCGGCGCCCTGGGGAGCAGCGCGCGCCACCCCCCTCCACCCGCCCAGCCCGTCCGTTCTGGCGCCCTGGGGGTCGCGCGCTGTCCCCACCTCACCATCCCCCGCGCTCCTGCCCCTATCCCACCCGTTTTAGGGTTTTGGGGGTGAGGAGTGTGGGGGTGATGGTTGTGGGGGTGTCGGTTGTGCGCGCCGTCCCCTTCTCCTCCTCCTCCTTCGTCTCCCACTGCTGCAGCTGTCGCTGAGGGGGGTGGATGTGTGGGAGTCTGGGGTTTAGGGTTTAAGGGGGGTGCTGTGGGAGTGGAGCTAGGGTTTGAGCAGGGGGTGTGTGAGAGGGGCGTGGGGCAGCTGGGGGAGGTTGAGTGGAGGCAGCAGTCTTGTCGCCAGCAGCACCAGCAGTCCGGAGGCTACAATCTCCGGTAGTCGCCAGTCGCCTGTGGGTCAGTTGCTCCGGTCCGGAGGCTGCAATCTCCGCGGAGCCAGTTACCCCTGTAGTCCGGGCCTTTGCTTCGGTAGCCACTGAGCCAGCAGCTCCTGTGTGTCTGCAGCTTCAGCAGTCGCCTCCCATCTTCTCTCCCCCACAGTCTCTCCTCCTCCTCACTTGCCCTTTGTGATTAGCTCTAGCTTTGCTTACCTTTGTGAACTCCTGCTCTATACCTGCTTGCTCATTGTACTGATTACACCCCACTTTGGCTATGGGGGTGTGTCAGAATGTTATTCTC